GAATAAGAGAGAGGGGAAAAAAGGAGGGGTGAGGCATATCTGGAACCTTAACAAGACAGAGAGTGTTTTCTAACAATAATTTAATACATTTCATCATTTAAAAGTTTAGTTCAGAAGTATCGTATCGGTATCGATACTGCCTTGAAAAATATCGGTATCGTATTGAATACAAAATAAGTGGAGTCGCCCATCCCTACTAGCCAGGAGCTGCAGCGTTGACATCACATGACCAGTTGTGTCACGCTAGTGAGTTACACAATAAGTTTAGCTTACATGCTTTCAGCCAGTGTTCAAGGCAAAAGTTTTTTTTTTTAATTTACACCCAATATTTTCCCTGAAATGTACCCTCTACTGTGTACATCAAAAGTGTCTGATATGATTTATGGCATGTCAAGCTGTGTGATACAAAAACTCTGTTCTTTTACAACAGAAATTAAATGGGCCACATGCAAACTATTTATAAAGTCTATACATTTTTAATGGATGCGTTTAAGGCAGCAAAATATCAGAGCAAACAAACACCGTTTGCTAAATGCATAAATGTAAATGCTAAAAACCTGCCGTTTAAAAAAAAACGAGGCCCGTATCGTTATACATTATACACTTATGACCCATTTTTTAAGCGAGCCAAATGAAGTGAGCATGACAAAAACCACATACAAGGAAGCAATATCCCCCTGAGATAGAATAGATTTATTAGCAAGAGGTAATCAGGAAACATACAGTTTATTTCATTGCCTTTCTTTTTCTTTTCTGTTCATTTCTTTTTTTGTACAAAAACTGGAAATATTTCCCAAGCCGTGGAAATAAACTTAAGGGTTGAAAGATAATTCTCATACCACTGGGTATTGCTAACAGCAAAATGTTTGTTTGTATGTTTATATATCATTTATAAGAGTATGTGCACATAGATGTACATATATATTATTCTTTTTAAAGTTTTTGGCTGATACAGTGTTGCATGCCTGCCACATGAGCGTTTAGTGTGTTTCCAGACTGTACATAGTAAAAATACATACAAATATTCACAGAATAAGCACTACATTACTATATTCCTGCTAAGAGAACGATTATAGACAGGATTACAGTATATGCAAAAACACTTTAAAGTCCTCTACCTCTAGATCATGGTTTCAAAATCACAAATCATATAGCATTGAGTGTGTAAGCATAGGATACAACGCTTTAAAAGTGCTTTAAACTAGTACATGTTAAGAAATACATAGGGCTGCATGTACAAAATATACAGAATACTTTTCTGTGTGGTGAGTTGACAATGTTTGTACAAAAATGTACCTTTTTTAGGTAAGGATGCAGAACCCTACGTCTTTATTCTAGGACTACAAAAATACCATTTGTATGCTGCAAGCGGGAAGGTCATTCACTTTTGATCATACTCTTAAACGGCAATGCATTTTACAAAGTGATATTCAGTCACGTTCCACAATCACTGGAACAGCAAGAAGGACATAGATTGTCTGTAAATGTACAATAGCTGGATAATCTGGTGTAGAAGGATATTGTTGAACCCAGAATACCTTTTTCCCAAAATGCTAAGAAATGTGGCTGTGAGCAACGGAAACATTACATGGGTAAACAATCACGAAACAATCAGTTTCAAAAAAATATAATGCAGATCTTGCTTCTTTTTGTGAAGAAACAGTATAATTTAGGGCTGAGGAAATCATTACAAATTTCTGCAAAATAAATTTTGCATGTAAGAACAGATCAAAATCCTTATTGGCCAACAGAAGACATATCCTATGTATTTTTTAATGTAATACAATTACCAAGCTATTCACTGTCTGTTTTATTAAGTCATGGCAAAACTGTTAATAAATATCATGGCAGTTTAAGCATGTCCAACTAACCCCTTGAGAAATCAAGGAACGGATGTTAATTATCGCAAACAAATAGATGAAAAATGCTGGAGTTGGTTCTGCGAAGTACAGTGACATGGAATATAATAGTATAACAGTATAAGTGTTTCTATATGCTTGGTTGTATACAGTAATATATCTGCTTTCTACATTGCTACATGGTATGCATATACTGTAAATTAGTTACATGCATCTATTAAAATCTCAAAATGCTCCTGCCGGCGTTTCATATTTCATTACGGTGATGTGGATGAGCCTGATCAATTAAATAGACAACCACACCTTGAACTAGGATTGTATCCTGTTGCAAGTACTGTTAAAAGCATACTTTGGATTTGGAAAAAATATTATTCTCTAAAGAACATAGGCTGAAATCAACGGTGAAAGATCTGAAACAATTAGGCAACATTTGGTTACGACTAAAAACAAGGAAACACATCCAGGAGTAATAATCATGTTACATAACAGAACACAAGGATGTATACTGTAGAGAGTGTGGTGTCTGTACATTGTGTAGACGTTAGGCAGAGCCTCTCTCAGTTGGGCACTTTAGGCTCAATTCTGAGAGAGGCTTCATACAGGCCTTCTTCATCCATTACTGAGCTTCTGTCCAGTAAATACAGTGCTGCCTGAAAGACAAAAACGTGACAGTTTCATATTGAATGTGATTCTTCAATGCAACCATGGCTCAATTCTCAATTCGAGTTTCCTACACTGCAGGTTCCAAAAGGATTTTTAGGGCCTTACTGTTTTTAATCTGAATATGATTATGTACAGAACAAAGCATACTCAAACTTAACCCCCAGTGTTACTAAGGCTAGTGCATGCTGATCATGAAACCCCACAATTGGGCAGTGCAGACCAATATCAGTTCAATACCTTTGGCTGGTAATCAATCTTGTATGCCGTTTGCTGAAACTGCCTGATTTCACGGATGATATGGGAAATCTGTAAAATAAAGGAAATATGATAACAAAATGATATCTATAACTCTTTCCCACACACGCATTAAAGAAATGCATATAAAAAGACCTACCATTCTCATTTTGGAAAAATTGACCAGGTTGTCCTCTGTGTAGTTGGGCGTCCCCTCCTCAATAAAGGCCAAATCAGTGAGGTACATTCCCAAATATGGCACACAGGGAGGGTCACAACTAGCAGAAATATTAGAAAAAAATGCAGTATTATGCATGCTATGGCAAAATAAAATAAATTATATCACCTATATGCTCAAATATAGAAGTCTGGCTTAAATTACAGCAACAAGTACTGACTTACTGCAAGTGATAAAAACATACTTTTTTAAGGCCTCTCTGAGGTTCTTGAATCTTCCTTCAGATGAGACCAACTTCTGCAGCTTGTCAATGACTGTTTTGGTCTTTGATTTAAATGAAATAATAAAGTGCGTTAAATGATTTCAGTCTGTATTCAGTTGTCACATACTTTCAGATCTAACATCAAATAAATGCTCATCAATACTGGATCAACAGGAGGAGTCCAGCAAATATTATTTTATTGTCTTAAACTGCACTGGCCCTACTTTAACCATAAAGTCTATTCATTTAATTTCAATGAGGGTTTTATCAGGCAGTTCCACACCTGTTTGGACACTTTGAGCCAGGTCTTCTTCAGACGGAAGATGGAGCTGCGATTGAGGGATGAGGTGATTTCCAGCACGGCATTGTAGTTATGGAGACAGCGGCAGATATCGGCCACTGCCACCCACTTCTCTATCACTGCTACCCGTACATTCACATCCTCACTGCACAGGATCTCCGTAGCGATCAGGTTACTGATCTTTAAAAGAGACAGAGGTATATCGACATTGTGTTCATTATGCTTTATTTGGAACAATGCAACAACAAATACACTGCAGCAACTTTGCGCTTAACTAGAACCAGATGTTTTCACATTGAACACTTACATCATTGAAGTGTTTTGTCGTTTTCATGATGTAAGGTGTCTTCTCATTCTTGTCGTTCTTCATCCACCCTTGACCAAAAAACTCCCTGTTCATGGCAATGAACATATTTGTGAGGAAAAACACATATTGAACAAATATTCAAGTATTAAGTTGAATCTAATCAAACAATGTCATTAAGGTTTGATTAACCCAAGATGAAAAATGGTCTATTCACCCTCATGTCATTCATGTCAAAGTTGTATGCAGAATTTAATTGACAGTCTATTGTATTACTTCAAAAGACTTCAATAGGCACAAGTCATATGGCAAGCACTGTGTGAAGATTCTTCAAAACGTATTTTGTGTTCAATGGACACAATGGGCATAAATGTTTGAAGCAACATTAATGACATACTTTTTATTTTTGTGTGAACTATCTGTTTACTCTCTAGTAAAGAATGAATACATTGAAACATAATCACACTCACTCGTATGGTATGACTTTGAAAACAAGGTGGTCCAGCAGGGTGAGCTGTTCTGCGATCTCCAGAGCCGAATGATTCTCAAAAGGCTCTGACGTTCCTCCTTCTGCCTATATAACAAACAATTAGTTAAACGAGATACTGAATAATGAATTTCAGCACAGTTTACACACCTTAATAAGTGGTGATATACACTACAAGCCAAAAGTTTTGAATCGTGAAAAAAAAAATCACAGATTCCACAAAACTATTTTACATGTTTTCATGGAGGATCAAATCAACATATTAGATTGATTTCTGAAGGATTATGTGACACTGAAGACTGGAGTAATGGCTGATGAAAATGCAGCTTCGCCATTACAGGACAAAATAATAAATAAAAAAGAAAACAAATATATTAAAATAGAAAACAATTGTAAAAACTAGTCATAAGATTGCTTCTTGAGCATAGTCTTCTTTCAAAAACATTAAACGATCTTTCGGACCCCAAAATATATTGGTAAGTTCTGATCGTTTTAGCAATGAAATGTTGAGTAATTTGGAGGATGACCCAGAATCTCCCCACTCACCATCTGCAGCACCTCCTCCAGAGAGATCTGATTGTCACCAGGATCCTCCTGTGTCAATGTCCTGTCCAAAAAAGAAAAAAGAAAAAAACCAAGCAAAACCACTGATTTAATTACAATAGTTTATTAGATTACATAAATCTAAAATACTGTAGGACAGGATAATCCACTACTACATGATTCTGTCAGGGTGTAGACAGACTCTACTCACCGTATGATGTTGGCAGCAGCTTTCCTTTCTTGGGTCAGAAGTTCAGGGTCATGCATCACCTCCTCCAGGAAACTAATCACTTTCATTTTGAGCTCAGTGTTGGTTTCAAAGTCCTACAAACATACACACACAATACACAGGTGTACAAAAACAAAAACGTTCTGCAGATATTTTTTATTGTCATTCATATGTTATGATGTTTTAACGTTTTATCATGTTTAAATCCATTCCACAGAATTCGCCACATCAAAATCAGTGCAGAAACTTGTCCTTCTGGGACAAATTATGACCCACAACTTGGACACAAAAAAATAAATACAATTCCATACTGCATTTTGTTTCTATTTGGTGATTTCTTATATTAAGTTTTACACTTTTAGAAATATTTTTTATTGTCATCTGTGGTTCCATGAAGAACTTTTGACATCAATGTAAAATGATTATTTAAAGGGGTCATATGATGCAATTTCAAGTTTTCCTTTCTCTTTGGACGTTACATTTCCGACGCGTGCTTGTGGTGTTCACAATGCACTGGGTCAGCTGGCCAATCAGAGCAGACTGCGCTTGTCAAAGGAAGGTGCTTTGTTGAAAACGACGTGTTTGAGAGAGGCGGGGCAGAGGACCTACAATAATGTACAGTATTTGAAAAATAATGTGTTTTTTGAACATTAAAGCATGTCAACATATTCTGTTACACCAAATACACAAAATAATGATCTTTAAAATAGCATCATATGACCCCTTTATTTAAGGGGGAAAATGTCCTTTATTAAAATGTTGATTTTAAGAACTGATCACTGAAAGGTTCTTTGGGAACCCAAAATGGTTCTTCAATGGCATTGCTACAAAACCCTTTTATTTTTAAGAGTGTATAATGTTTACTTAATCTCACCTGCGAGTGTTTGGACACCCAGTGCCTGAGGACATTGAGAACTCTGTTAGTTGCTGCTCGACGAATCACAAACTCCTTATCTCCGTTCCTCTGATCCGTGGGGAACCCTGATAACCAATCAAAATTCACATTAATCCCTCTTCTGCCAGGCAACAAATATCCACAGCCTATGAGTGTTTGAAACAGATTGCTGAATCCTACCTGTGCTTGCCAGAGACATGCGGCGGTACTTCTCCTTGGTTGGCGTGCCCTCGTTGGCACCTGCAGTGGCAATGGCGAAGGCAGAAGCAGCAGACAAGGCGCTACGGTTGTTATCCAGCTCCCGACAGGACGACATCACCATGCCATTGTTGTACGAGAACAGAGAGAATTCTGACCAGAGAGAAAGACAAGTAGCACACGCGATTGTTCAATGCATGTTTGGAGGTTAATTTAGCATTAATTTCAGAATTAGTCAGCTACTCATAACCAATTAAGAGATTTAAACAAATAAATCAAAGTTTTGCATACTTCAAGTGATAGCAAAATACTGGCATTTTCAATATGCAAAAAAGAAAAAGAAGAAGAAGAAAAAAAACAAGCATAGTTCAGTGTGCAAACATTAGGATAATTCTATCACTGTCAGTTACATTTTACAGAACATTTAATTAAATGTAAGTCAAAGCAATAAACCAATAAAAAGTCAAATTTATTATTGATAATACTAATAATATATAAAATAATGTTGATAATAATATAATATTAATGAAATTAATATCAATAATCAAGTAATATAGATCATTATAGGCTTTTTATGGCTGCAAAGTAATTTAACATTTTTATTAACAGTCAGTTTGCAACACCATCGGGCGATCAGAAATCTAAAAGCTGTTCTATAAAAAAGATTTTCAAACATTAATATTAAATATTTTAAGATTTTATATTTTTTATTAAATATTTTTAACCATAAAAATGTACAAAAATAAATAAATAATACAATTAAACAGCACAGTTAAATCTAAAATTATTTACAAAACACATTTTAACCTGTACTCTAAGATATTCAAGCTGAATTAATAATATAATATTACTGAAATTTTAACAAACCAGTAATATAGATCATTATACTAGTGCTGTTCATGACTGCAAAGTAATGTAGCAATTTTACCAGCACACTTTTTGCAACAGTTTCGATTGTGGCTTATTCAATCAGAATTATAATAAAGAATGTATTGTAATATAACAATTAAAACAATATAACAATTTGATTAACATTTTGCAACAGAGATAATCAGAAATCTAATAGCAATCTATTTTATAAGGACAATTTTCAAACATCAATATTAAATATTGTAAGAAAGTAAATAAATAAAATAAAAACTAAATAAATAAAAAGTAAACAGCACAATTAAGCCTAAAATGATCTACAATACAAAGTTTGAATCTGTACACTAAGAGATTTGCTTTACAGATACAGCGTGTACTTTAAAACATGAACAACACGTGGGAACAAAAAAAGAGCAGAATACAGCGATATCTCACATACAAAAATGCTAAGGAACGAAGTTTTTACATATAGCTAAATATGCAAACCTTTAACAACTGAATGTTACTGGACCTTTGCATTAAACACTCAGTTTCTCAAAACAAGCGAGCCTGCCATTTTGAGCCACTGATAAATGCAAAATTTGGCTGGTCTGAAGGGTGCAGGTGGCTTGTCAGCGTGAGATGCAGGTGCTCTGGTTTTCATGTCAGTGAGCGATAACAACATGGCAAGGAAGTCTAGGACAGAGTGTCTTCTACCTGAGGAGTTTTTGCATTTGACGTTTTTGGGAGTGGTGGGTGATTTGGTGGGCGACACTTCAGCCTCTGCCTCATCACTCTGGATCTGGTCGTTGTCGATTTCCTCCCTCACTGAAATGTCTAGAAAAGAATCAGTCATAGGCATTACAGTTATCCATATGCATAACATATCGAACACATGAAACATTAAAAACCCACCATATTATGACAGTTTGCTGTCTGCGTGTCAAAAAGTTGGTTCCAAGCTGATACTATGATTAAAAAAAGTTTGTATCCTTAATAAAACTAAAACCGTAAAAAATAAACATTTTCATTACTTGAAATAAAATAAACATTAACTGAAATCAAATATACACATAAAAAGTATTTTATTTCAGTTTGGAAACAGTTTAAATTTACGTTTAGTTAAGTTGAAGTATGGTACTAAAATTACTAAAACTAAATAAACAAAAACTAAAACCTTATAATAGAATAAAAAAGACAAAAACTAATAAAAATGATACAAGACACAATTATTGTGTTACTCATTTAATATAATATATATAAACGAATTCAAAATATTAACAAAAACTATAAAAGTGTATCAGTGTTACTAAAACAAATATTACTATCCAAAGTCTGTCTTGACTACTTGAAGGTACAAGCCATTGTTTAGTTTGTTATAACACACACACACACACACACACTCAAATATTCAGTAATATAAAAATACAACAAATACAAAAAAAATGTACAACAATGCATGTACTTTCTTATTTTTTTATTACAAATATTTTAGATTTTTTTTAATTATATTATTAATAAATATAATGAACATAATTTTTTTTAAATAAAGCACTGTTTTATTAGTTTATGCTGTGTTACTGTGTCAAGAAACAAAAATTTCTCTGGTACTGGTATCAACTACTGACATTTTGGTGAACTCATTTGCAGTATGACCTCACCTTGTTTGCACAGCGAAACCTCATCAGCTTTGTCAGTCTTGCCTTCACCCTCGTCAGGAATCTTGCTGGTGATGGGGCTGGACACGTAGAGCTTGTTGATGTCCAGCGTGGTCTTGCTGAAAGGGGACATGGAGGAGTACATGCTTGCATAGCCATTGGAGGAACAGCTAAGGGCAGCCAGGTCCAGAGCCTTCCCACCGGTGATGATGGGGATGTTGAGGGACAGTTTGCGGCGGCGGTTGGGGGACGAGGTCTTGGTAATGGCCAGCGGGGGTGGGGAGGAGAACTTGCGGCTGGCACGGGGCGACTTAGGTGGCTCTCCGTAGAGGAGCTTGTTGTTCTGGCTGCTCGCGAAAAACAGCTCCAGGGATCTATGTGTTGAAAAGAGCAGGAGGGAGGGTTGTTAATGACCATGTTGTCTTGATTTAAACCTCCTGAGGCTGTCAAACATGGACATGCAATTTCAGTTTCAAAAATTCAAATTAAATTTAAAGGTGAAATATACTACCATTTATTTTTAAGAATGTAATACTAGTACTCAGCAAGGGTGCATTAAATTAATTAAATGTGACAATAATAATGTTTAATATATATTTATTTATTTTAAATAAATGCTGTTCTTTTAAAATGTATATTCATTAAAGAATTCTGAGAGAAATGTATCACAATTTCCACAAAAATATTTAAACTTTGACAATAATAAGAAATGTTTCTCGAGCATCAAATCAGCACATAAGACCTGACACTGAAGAATGGAGTAACTGCTGAAAATCCAGCTTTGCCATCATAGGAATAAATTACACTTTAACATATATTAAAATAGAAAACAGTTATTTTAAATTGTAATAATTGTTCAAATTATTACTGTTTTTTAATGTATTTTTGTTCAAAACCTTGCTGAGCATAAGAGAGATCTTACAGACCCCAAACTTTTGAACTGTACTGTTTCAATACTTTCTGTCAATTCCAGCTAAATATGCAGATACAACAAGATAAGGAAGCCATTCAAATGATTTCCCTGAAATAAAATAATAATAAATAAAAAAATCACAAAAATATTATAATTAAATTATGATCAAAAAATGTATAAATATATATTAAAAAAACTATAATATTTTTTTTCCCGGAGTAAAGCATGCTCATTAAGTTCAAATGACAAAGACTTTATGTCATTTCATGTGACCAAATGGTTCGCTCAGATGATTGGTTGAGCAAATTATTGGTCATTTTGAATGAACCTCAAAGAGCTGTTTGTTTGAAGATCTGTCCAACCAATAGGATCCTGTTTGAAAACACTCATTATTTTCAGTTCAGTGTCACTACAGACATTAAATGACATGCTTCACCTTTACATGAGAGCAGATCTAGAAAACCACCATCGGCACATCACTAGCCTACAAAAAGACAACAGTTACGTATTTGCCTCTCATTGCAACTCATGATTTAGCTAATAATGGCTTCTCAACCCTGTGTGGTGTGCTCAGGGTATTTGCGCTGACAGAGAAAAGTGTCTCTGCGGAGCATAAACAGCCTACTCTTCACATCTCTCTATAAGGTTGGAGAGCGTTGCAGAGAAGCTTTCCCACACATCAAGCCACCCCTACACGTCATGCCTGCACAGAAATAGACCCACTTATGACAGTCTGGGTGACCGTTGGAGCTGAGGCAGGGCAGCTGAGCGGGGGAGGTCTGGGGAGGCATCACAGCCGTGCAGTCTGCCCAGGGGAGAGTGGGTGCTACAGGCTGTGGGTGTGTGGGAGGTCCCCGGCTCTTACCGATTTGCCTGGATCTCCGTCTCCAGAGCCAACCGGAGGAGGAGATGCAGAAAGCAAGACGAAAATACAGCGCGCATGTGAAAGAGAGAGTGAGAGAGGCTGTGCTGGCTGCAAAACGTGCACACTAAATATTTCATCTCGCAGATGCGGCACGGGCGGAGGGTGGGGTCCTGCAGCAGAGTGGCCGGTTGCTAAGGTGATGGTGACAGAGCCCTGCTGAGATGCTTCAGTCAGGCAGGCACGCAGGCGAGGAAGCAGGGCCCAATTACTGCTGTTTCCAGCAGAACACACACATACATAGAGCGGGGTGACACACATTAGTGTGACCTCTCGCAAGCCTTTAGCAACTCCAGCACATCTCACTACCTTCCCCTTTGACTTTCTCTCTCACTTTTCTCTCCTTTTATCCCATACGTACGCAGACGCTCGCTCGCTCTCACTATAGGGTGACAAACACTGGCGCGACCTCTCTCCTATCACACCGAACCAATTTTTTTGCTCATTCTCTCACACGAGAACACAAATCCAGCAAAGCAAAGACCTGGTGCTAAACTAAGAGCTGCATGTGCATTTATATATGTGCCAAGATACAAGTCCATCAAACGGCATAAAAAAAGCTGAGAATTAGGGATGGATCATGATAGGCCCTCCAACAACCAACTAAACAGGTTGACTACTTTTTCTAGACTTTTCTTATATTTACAGCACATTCAACAGTTTGTGTTTAATTAGATTTTTCTTTTTCTCTTTTTTTGGAAATTAATATTTTTTATTCAACAAGGATACATTAAATTGATCAAGAGTGACAGTATATACTTTTATAATGTTATAGAAGATCAAGGTTTTTTGAACGTTCTATTCATTAAAGAATCTTGATCAAATGTATCACGGTTTCTGCAAAAATATTAAGCAGCACAAGTTTTCAACTGTGATAATAAGAAATGTTTCTTGAGCAGCAAATCAGCATATTAGAATTATTTCTGAAAGATCATGTTACACTGAAGACAGTAAAGATTACGGCTACTAAAAATTCAGCTTTGCCATCACAGGAATAAATTGGATTTTAAAATCTATTAAAATAGAAAACAGTTATTTTAAATTATAATTTTTAAGAAGTAAACAAATTACTGAGAGCACCTTTAAGAAGGCATGTCAACTTTTAAAACCTGCATTTCATTTCATTCTTGCTCTATTCAGCTGTTTTTGCACACAAAAACGCCATAAATATTAGCTAAACATATCCCAAAAGCAACCTTGTCATAAAGGGCTTAAGACTGATTAGTCAACTACAAAACGCCATGCTGCTTTATTCAGTCGGCTTTATTCTAACATGTAAGTATGACGTTTTTAAGCTCAACTTAATCAGTATTGTAGACTGTAGACTGTGCTGAAAACAACACTCTTGCTACATGCTACTATGCACATGAGAGCAGTTTACAGTTTACATCTCTGTGCATGTCATGCTGATCAGACTGCCATTTGCAATAAAAACCTCTGTAATCTAATTTTTTGTATTCCAAAAAAAAAACAGATATGTGGCTCACCGGGCAGGTATGGCGCTGATAGGCTTCTTGTATATGGTGATGAGTTTGTCAAGGACTACGTCTGCGCTGGTGAACACACGGTAGGAGTGCAGGAAGGTGTTGAGGAAGTCGATGGAGAGGAAGCGCAGGTCAGTCAACCTCTCCAGCAGGCGTTCCACGCTGGCATAGCGGATCTGCAACACCTTACACGAGTTCATCATCTTGCTGAAGCGGATGTCCACGTCATCACAGTACAGACTGGCATCAGACCTAAACATGTGACACAGATTATTAGATGTTATTTACATATTTACAAAGTATCACTATTATGTCTCATTTGTCACCCCTGTTGTCTACATATTTGTATCAGTATCTGACATTAAAATTATAAATATATTTCAATCATGACAATGTTAATGTATTTGGTCTTGGCGGAACAGATCTGCTACGCTGCTGCTGAATTGCTGCTGCTGTTGGTTATTGCTGTAGTTGTAGATTATTGTAGTACAGGAACTTGCTACAGCCAATGCATATGGCGATACGGTGCCATGAGTATTTAAGACATACTGCTGCTGCACAAATAGCATATAAAATAACCCCATAGCAGATCTATACAGGTGGAGCTGGGGAAGGTGGAGGGTTTCAGAGAACTCTGAAAGCACGCTGCAGGAATCTCAAGTGAATGCTAGCCAGCCATATAAATGCAAGGCAGTAAGCTCATTGGCTACATATGCAGCATGAACCAATCAGCTTGTGCCAAGTCGTTTAACTCTCTGAATTTCATCAGTTATGTTAACACCCCGTCAGAATGCGCCATCTAGAGTTTCATGACTGAACTATATATATATATATAGTTTAGCCACTAGCAACAATCACATTTTAGATCAAATTCATACTTTTGTAATACTGTATGCAGCCTTGCAAAGTTAGAACATGCTCATGTATTAAGCTTCTCAAAATGTGTCAAGTGCCATTAAAAGTTGATGTATGACTGTGAATAAAAAACAGGCTGATCTACTTAATGCAGAAACTGACTATGTTTTATAGACATTTACTAACATTTCTATGCTGGAAAAGCATAGTTACTTCCAGTGGGAGAAGAAGTGCTTACTTGATCATCTGGGGCACAGTGACTTTAGAGTTCTCCTCAAAGGCATTCATCATCAGCCCATTACAACGAATATTATCTATGCACTATAGTAAAGAGTGAGAGAGAGAGAAAGAGAGAAAAAAAGAGTGTGAGGACAGTATTTGAACCACAGGACGTGAGTAAAAGGCGAAGGTCTTGCCCAGGGCTGTGTGGATCACTCAGTGTTATCTGACGTGAGCAGACATGCCTGGCTGATGTCACTGGTCCAGGCTGACTTCTCTTGCCGCGAGGAGGCCACCAGGATGATGGTGAAGGACTGGCTGTCTTTGGGCTCCACCACAATCTTAAAATCCAGGTGCTCCATGTCCTGACCGCTCTTGTCTGACTTGGCTGAAGAGAAAAATGATAACTTAGTGAGCCTCTGGAATAAATCTAGTGGAGGTCTATTGTGATTAGATTTGTGGTCCGATCTACTTCCATAACATGTCCATATCAGTGGCAACTGATGCTTCTCAAAAGCGGGTAAGTACAGAGGTCTCTTATCAGTGTCAAAATGTCAACTCTCTTTTGTTATTGCAGATATTTTATGGTATGCTTAAGATTAAATCAAGAGTTTTGATACGTACACTCGTCATCTGTGCCCTCTGGTTCCTCTATCAGTGTGCAGTCAATGAGCGACACCACTCCATTCTGCCATCCAGAGACAAGTAACAGTCAGACATGCTCTGAGAATCTATCAAATAATCAATAGCAGCCGTACTAAAACAGTGATTACTGTGAGGATCTCCTTCTTGAATTTCCCTAAAGACCAAGAGCAATAGTGGCTTACTGAATGTGGTAAAATTACAGTCAGCTGAAGGTGGTAATCACCATTTTCTGGGCACAACATAACATTTCACTGGTTTAACAACACACCAGATACATTCAAAAATTATCCTCTGAGAAATTAAGAAACATTGTATATAAATAACAAAAAATAAAAATAAAATAAAATGTAAAAATGATCTGAATTATATGTCTCTATAAATAGTTGAAGGCATATTTCAAGTGTTTTTTTATATTAAAAGGGGTACTTCTGCTTAGCCTGCGACAGCACATATTTTAATATGATACCATACTACACATGGTGTATAAATAAAATAAATAAAATATTAGAAAGGTTAAATTAGGTTTAAAAATATTTTTGAAAAAGTTAATAATATGCTGGTCATTCATTAAAACATTATTATTATTATTGTTGTTGTTGTTGTTATTTAATTAATTAGATAATTAATATTATATTCTATTATTTTATTTATAAGTGGCAATGCATATTTAGCATAATTTTATTATTATTATAGTCTATTAATTTCATGTTATATTACATTTATTTTATTATATTTCCATGTGGCAAAGTTAATCTCAAAAATATTTCTAAAAAGGTGATAACTTGTTGGTCATTCTTTAAAAACAATTATTGGCTGCAATTATTATTACAAATTATTAATAATACTATTAATATAATAATTATAATAATAATATTTTATTTAAAAATATTTTATTCTATTAATTTTAGATTATTTTTATTATTTTATTACATTTTAATGGCAATGTTTATTTTTGCAATTTAATTGAATTTCTAACAATTCTAAGTTACTTCACCTCCTAAGAAAAGAATGAAAACAGGTTTAAAACTGTCCTACCATATATATCTATACTTATACCATACTACCATATTTATCTATATATATACTTTTTTTGAGATTGTGTATTAACGAACCTTGGTGAGGTGTAGTTTTCCTCCAGAGCCTCTAGTGCAGATAATCAGATGCTTGGAGAAGAGGAAACACTGCCTCTCTCCCTCCTTCTTCAGAGACAGAGAGCCCAGTCGGCCACGGGTGATCTTGCCCTTCTCACTCATGGGCACTTGTATCAGAGATCCTGAAAAACAGGCATGTAGGGGCAGGATACGTTAGCGTTGCAGGTAAGGCTGGGAAATGAAGAACAGACAAATACTATGCCAGCACAAGGGGAAATACTGGATTGACATATGCTCTTATCAGTTTCCTCGTGTCTTCATATCCTGCAGCGCGTCAGTGACTTTTCCGATCCTGGGCTCAACACCAAGTTTGACTGGTAAAAATGTGATTACACTTGGAAATGAAAGAGTTGGTCTGGTCTTTGAACGCACTGTGTTCTACGGAGACTAGCAGGATTAGGGCACCCAATCCTTTTGAGTTAACACTCCGCTTTGTGCTGGCAGGGAAAAGAGGGCAGCCCAGAAAAGCCTTGGAGTGGGAAGGGGAGAAGAGGGAGGTGGGGGGCTTGACAATAAGAGGTGATAAGAATGACAGTTTGCAGAAAAGAACAGAAGGAAAGGAGAATCCAAACGTCTTCTTATCAGGGATCTATGACCCCTTTCAGCAGAGCGCTCAGGAGGATTTGTGTGTGTGTGTGTGTTGGGAGTTCACCTTGTCTGACAGAGGGAGGTGGGGGGCTTGACAATAAGAGTAACAAGAGTGACAGTTTGTAGAAAAGAACAGAAGGAAAGGAGAATCCAACTGTCTTCTTATCAGGGATCTGTGGCCCCTTTCAGCAGAGCGCTCAGGAGGATTTGTGTGTGTGTGTGTGTGTGTGTCCTTGTCTGACAAAGGTTTGGCTAGGTTTGAGGAGAATCTCACAGCCCTCCACAGCCCTCCACGATCTTAATTAATTGATTAATTAGACAATTATATTATATTCTTTATTATGTTATTTCCAAGAAGCAATGCATATTTAGCATTATTTATTATTATTATTGTTGTTGTCTATTAATTACAGTTTATATTATATTTATTTTTATTATATTTCCATGTGGCAAAGTGAAATCTTATAAAATCATATAAAAGTTACTTAATCTCAAAACTACTTTTAAAAAGGTGATAATTTGTTGGCCATTCATTAAAAACAATTATTACTACAAATTATTAATACTACTACTACTACTACTACTACTAATAGATTATTTAATTTTTAATTTTATTCTGTTATTTTTAGATTATTTTTAGTTTTATTTTACTTTATTACATTTTAATGGCAATGTCTCTTTTTACAAGTTCATTGAAAAGCTAACAAATCTAAGAAAAGTTCCCTCATCTCCTAAGAATGAATGAAAACAAAAGAATGAAAAATATGTGCTGAAACAGCTTTAAAACTGTCCTGGCATATATATCTTCTTCATACCACCCCAGCCTAGTATGCACTGTGTAATGAAGTGCATGAGGCTTCACCTTGGTGAGGTGTAGTTTTCCTCCAGAGCCTCTAGTGCAGATGATCAGATGCTTGGAGAAGAGGAAACACTGCCTCTCTCCCTCCTTCTTCAGAGACAGAGAGCCCAGTCGGCCACGGGTGATCTTGCCCTTCTCACTCATGGGCACTTGTATCAGAGATCCTGAAAAACAGGCATGTAGGGGCAGGATACGTTAGCGTTGCAGGTAAGGCTGGGAAATGAAGAACAGACAAATACTATGCCAGCACAAGGGGAAATACTGGATTGACATATGCTCTTATCAGTTTCCTCGTGTCTTCATATCCTGCAGCGCGTCAGTGACTTTTCCGATCCTGGGCTCAACACCAAGTTTGACTGGTAAAAATGTGATTACACTTGGAAATGAAAGAGTTGGTCTGGTCTTTGAACGCACTGTGCTCTACAGAGAATAGCAGGATTAGAGTGCCCAATCCTTTGAGTTAACGCTCCGCTTTGTGCTGGCAGGGAAAAGAGGGCAGCCCAGAAAAGCCTTGGAGTGGGAAGGGGAGAAGAGGGAGGTGGGGGACTTGACAATAAGAGACTTGACAATAAGAGTAACAAGAGTGACAATTTGTAGAAAAGAACAGAAGGAAAGGAGAATCCAACTGTCTTCTTATCAGGGATATGTGGCCCCTTTCAGCAGAGCGCTCAGGAGGATTTGTGTGTGTGTGTTGGGAGTTCACCTTGTCTGACAAAGGTTTGGCTGGTGTCTAGGAGAATCTCACAGCCCTCCACGATCATCCGCTCGATAGCGAGGTTCTTCCTAATGTTCTCCGTCTCGCTAACCTCATCGTGCATGATTCTGTGGAGGTACATCATTTTAGCACTCACAGCTCTTATTTTTATGTAACATACAAATCTTCAAATGTTTTTTTTTTAACAGAAACCAAAAATAATAATAATAATAATAAAAAAATTAAATTAATTTGCGAGAATTTTGATTTGATTTTAGTTAGCTCGGGAGTTATGCAAATATAGTTTACTTATATGTATATAACTAAAACATAACTATGTAATTTTTTTGTATATTGCATATTTTAATATATATTTTAAAATATATTGTACTAATACATTTCACACTACATTTTCAAGACTTTAAAACTAAATAAAATAAAATATAATGGCCATATATTAATTTGATCAATTTATATATTGCATACTTTAAAATATAGTATATTAATATATTTTTAAACTAAATTTTCATGACTCCAAACTGCATAAAATCAAATAAAATGGCAACAAATGTATTTTATTATTTGCATATTACATATTTTAACAAATATATTAAAACATATTATATTAATATATTTAAAACTATATTTTCATGTCTCCAAAAATAACTAAAATCAAATAAAAATGGCCACAGATTAATTTTAGTTTTAGACTCGACTTCATTAAACATGAAAATGCCACTAGATAATACTAGCAATAACACTAGATTGTAAATTTAAGAAAATGTCACTTAAATGATAATGATAAATTTAAAATGATAAATTTAAATGATATAATTTAAGACACTAAGTTTGACATTAAAAAGTCATCATAGTTGTTTTCAATGTGAAGCTTATTTTAAAACGTTGGAAGCATTTTTTAGCATTGCAACAAGTTCAGTGAAGAAAAAAAAAAGCAAGATGGATGACGAGGTGAGTGGTTATAAAATATTTAAATATATAAATAATTCACTTACTGTATATTTTAATAAATGTTGAAAATTATCCATAGAAATATGTATTGATTTAATCCAATATAGAGTTGTGGTCATAAATTTACAAACAGTACACCTTGCAGAATCTGAAAAATGTAATAATAAAAATTGCTTGTTTAAATGTAGTACTGCCACGAATAAGCAATTTCACATAGCTGTAGCGAATCAGCTCATGGGGAAATATGAATAATTAACCATAACTAGTTATAATTAACTATTCATATTTTAGATCCACTGTAGATATTTAGCTGACCACTCAGGGTCAACTGTCTTGTCAATTCTAAGACGTTAATTTCCTGGTTAAGGGAAATAACTGAAAAAAAGCAAGATGGATGACGAGGTGAGTGGTTATAAAATATTTAAATATATAAATAATTAACTTACTGTATATTTTAATAAATGTTGAAAATTATCCATAGAAATATGTATTGATTTAATCCAATATAGAGATGTGGTCATAAATTTACAAACAGTACACCTTGCAGAATCTGAAAAATGTAATAATAAAAATTGCTTGTTTAAATGTAGTACTGCCACGAATAAGCAATTTCACATAGCAAATGTTTATACCTATAGTCCACAAAACAAAATTATACCTAATTTAAACCTAAATTAAAAAACAAATGAACTCAGTCACTTATGTGGTTCTATGACAGTTAGGATGCTGCCTACGTAGGCAGCTCACTAGGTTTTGGACTAGAGCTGTGTAATTCAAAGTCAAAGTCTTACTTTCTTGATTTTCTTGATTTCTGAATCATCATCGCTAGGAGCAGTGGTGGGATTCGACTGAATCTTCTCATTGTCTTTGAGCATTGCTGCAATCTGCAACAAAACAGAGATAAAAATGGCAGTCAACACTTCCTTTGCAAAAAAGTTCCTTCCCTCACTTCTTCCCAGCATGCTGACAAAGTGATTGAGTCAGGCCAAATAAGTGTCAGCACAGTGTGGCACAAACACTCGCCCTATCAAAGCTCTCAGATGCCGCTCGGGTATTTTCAGATGCTTAGGGTGCACAAACTTTCAAATTATTACATGGCCCTGCAATTTGAAAGGGAAACATTGGGGACACAAAAGAGACGGGAGCTAGCCAGCACAGTCTGTAGGTGAGTGCTCCATTTATTGGACGCGGACTGAAAGAGTTTATTATGCTGTGGACCAAGGATGCGACTCACACAATACATCTGGGGTCATGCATATTCAGCACACCATTTCATACAGCCAGCTCCATTTGCACTTTAAAGTAAAATGACTATTTGATCTGGCTGATGAAGTATACAGCAGGGATCATAGTTCTCCTGGAGAGCCGTTTTTTATGAGCAGAGATGCAAAGTGAAGTGCAAAGTAGTCTAGAGAAAGCTCTTCAAAACCAAATGCTTCTCACACCACTTTTCATTCTCTCTATCCTTTTCCTTTTCAGAAAAGAAATGAGCATGTAATTTGGGTCACGATAATTGACTAGTCATCCAACAACTGACTAGTCGATTAGAGGGGCAGAAATTTTTTTTGTGTGCGTATCTGCACTCTTTCAATATTAGTTACAGTAAATTATTGTTCTTGTTTTGCAGACTAATGGCTCATGGTACTTGCTTAGCACATCATTAGTCAATTAGCCAAAAATCTTAAATTCTACATTTTCATTCACACAAAAGGCGTCCGAAATCGTGTACTGTCCTACATTTGAATTTGAATTTACTTTGCGACAGTTAAAAAAGTATGTTCTACATAGTAAGAATTTGGGTAGTATGAATGAAATTCGGACATACTACATCCGCCATGTTGTTACAGTCACATGACCTACATGCGTCAGTTGCGCCGCTTCACTGCCATTCATAAATCCTTTCCTGTGGCCTCATGGGATAGTAAAGTGTCCATCGAATGGGCACTTCAGAATCCGGGAGAAAGAAGTAGGTCATCCGGGGTACTTTTCGCCTACTGTTTTTCGTATATGCTATAAATTCGGACATACTACTCGCCTCACATACTGTTTTTCACATTCTATATAGTAGGGAAGTATGCGATTTTGGGCGCAGGGATTGTGTTTCTGTTTGATCAGGCATTACAAACTGCCACCCCACACTTTAAAAATTAAAGTAAAAACCTGTTAATTGGTTAACTGTAAGTTACCTTACTTTACCAAAACTGTAAATGGTTTAAAATGTAACATTTATGGTTTTTAGAGCTACAAACTGGTTATCTGTATATTTTAAAGTAAACAGCAGATTTTGACAGAAGTAGATTGGTATATTAATATTATATGACTTTATTGTTTTATTGTTGGATTATTGTTTTATTGTCAAATTTATGAAATTTAGGGTAAAAAAGTATGTTCTACATAGTAAGAATTTGGGTAGTATGAATGAAATTCGGACATACTACATCCGCCATGTTGTTACAGTCACATGACCTACATGCGTCAGTTGCGTCGCTTCACTGCCATTCATAAATCCTTTCCTGTGGCCTCATGGGATAGTAAAGTGTCCATCGAATGGGCACTTCAGAATCCGGGAGAAAGAAGTAGGTCATCCGGGGTACTTTTCGCCTACTGTTTTTCGTATATGCTATAAATTCGGACATACTACTCGCCTCACATACTGTTTTTCACATTCTATATAGTAGGGAAGTATGCGATTTTGGGCGCAGGGATTGTGTTTCTGTTTGATCAGGCATTACAAACTGCCACCCCACACTTTAAAAATTAAAGTAAAAACCTGTTAATTGGTTAACTGTAAGTTACCTTACTTTACCAAAACTGTAAATGGTTTAAAATGTAACATTTATGGTTTTTGGAGCTACAAACTGGTTATCTGTATATTTTAAAGTAAACAGCAGATTTTGACAGAAGTAGATTGGTATATTAATATTATATGACTTTATTGTTTTATTGTTGGATTATTGTTTTATTGTCAAATTTATGAAATTTAGGGTAAAATATACAGGTACCAGTATGCCATCCTGCAATACCTAAAACACCTTGTCACCATATATTTTATATTTTACACCACAGCTGCTGTTTTTCTTTATTTTTTACAGTACATGATAAACCTTTAAAATATATTCTGTATCAAAACATCAAATTAAATAGTGTTTAGTTGTTATTTGTAAGTTAAAATGTATTTTAGTTTAAGTTTTTCCAATTATACTAGTTTTTATTTTTTAATTCACTTATTTCATAATGCCAGTATTAACCACTGCGTTATTTTCAATTCTGTTGTGCAAACACATCTTATGTAAACCATGTGCAGGTGAACCTGAAACCAACCTTTTTATACAGGGCTTCCTTAAACAAGTTGACTAGCTGTTCAAACAGTGCATCTACTATTTAGTTTTGCACTTATTTCCCAGACAACATTTTCACTTCAGAGAGACAGAATCAACTTGATATACAGTAAAATTGCTGATATATTCGACTGGATTTTGGCATGTTCACTATAGATAAACAATCCCTACTGCACTTTGAATTACAAATTTTACCTCTGATTTTAGACGTTCAATCTCGATCTCCCCATCTTCTATCTGTTGTCGAAGTTGCTTAGCAACTGTTTTCTCGGTCTCCACGATTTGGAGTAGATGGAGGTACTTCTGCATGAGTGTTTCATGCTCGGTGGCCAGGTTTCTGTAGCTGCACACAGAACACACACACACACACACACACACACATGTCGGTATTGTCCTCTTACGGGGACTCTCCATAGGCATTATGGTTTTATACTGTACAAACTGTATTTTCTATCGCCCTACACCAACGCTAAGCCTACCCCTCACAGAAAACTTTGTGCATTTTTAGATTTTCAAATAGATTTTCAAACAAACCATTTAGTAGGTCTTTTAAGCCTTTTGAATTACGGGGACACACGTAGTGTCCTCATAAACCACCTTGATATTGTAATACCTGTGTCATACCCATGTCATTATACAAATTTGTGTCCTCATAAACCACCAAACCAGTGCACAGACACACACACACACATATTGTGATTACAAACACACACATATTCACATCCATGCACAAAGGCATACAGGATACAAATACAAACATGAGTGCGCACACACTCCACACAATGAGGAACATCACGTTATACTAGAAATAAAGCTCATTAGCAGAGACACAGTGTTAACACGTAACCCCATAAGCACACACTTTATCAGAGCAAACTGTGAATGCTCAAATTCAACAATTAAACAGAATTGTTGGAGCAACGCTTATCTCAAAACAGCAAGCAAATCCAGACACCTTCATGTTTATGCACACAGATTTAGAACTGCTGCAGGGCATCCAGAGATAAACAGCCAAAATAGTCCTCCAGTACAGATTGAGACCAGAACGGAGCACCATCCACCCTCATCACAAACACAGACCTGCTCTTCAGAACCACTTCTCCTTAAAAATAAACTAGACCTGATTATGAAAGAGTATCTTTTGAGCATATATTATTTAATACCTGCAAAACGTATATGTTAAGCTGTTAATTATATCTGCTGTTACTTAATTGGTAAAATAATCAAATGCATGAACCACACATATAGTCCAAACATACACTATCATTCAAAAGTTTGGGCTTGATAAGATTTTTTAAAATGTTTTTGAAAGAAGTCTCTTATGCTCACCAAGGCTGTATTTATTGGATCAAAAATACAGTAAAAAAGCATTAGTATTGTGAAATGTTATTACCATTTAAAATAACTTTTTTCTATTTGAATACATTTTATAATGTAATTAACTCCTGTGTTGGCAAAGTTGAATTTTCAGCAGGTATTACGCCAGTCTTCATTGTCACATAATCCTTCAGAACTCATTCTAATATGCTGATTTGGTGCTCAAGAATTTCTTATTATCAATGTTGAAAACAGTTGTGCTGCTTAATATTTTTGTGGAAACTAATACATTTTAAGTATTCTTTGATGAATACAAAGTTCAAAAGAACAGCATTTATTTGAAATAGAAATCTTTTGTGACGGAAAATGTCTTTACTGTCACTTGTGATGGAATTAATACATGCTTGTTGAATAAAAATATAATTTTCTTTCCAAAAAAAAAAAAAAAAACCCAGCAAAAAACATTGAAACATTGTAGTGTATAGTGTCTTAGTAGTGACAATAGAAATAAGTGATGTAAATTAGTCAAAGAAGTGACGAAAGTCACTGATAATGTGGATGTGTTTAGCAATTTTATATTATAGCATGCTTTTTAGTGCTATTGCATCAAAATGAAGAGCAAATAATCATGGTTAGGTGTCTTATTAAAGCTGACAAAAAAGGATGATGGGATATGCAGTTTTGTAACACAGACCTCATTAACCTGTAGTGTATTTTATCAAGCTTTACTGCTATTATACATAAAATGTTAATGTTTACAAACTAAATTGCATAGTAAACAATCAAAATTACATCTTATTATACTAATGCGATATGCTATTATTTGCTTCCACTATGATTCTCAAAACTCAGAAAGTCTTGGTTCAAAGAAAATCCTGATATGGTTGTGTCAATTCATGCAACAAGGCTCACACAAAAAGACTAAGAAAACTACTAAATCACAGTAAGTAATAAATCACAGACCATTTTGTTTTCTGTTTAGTTTTTAGTTTAAGTGCAAAAATGCACAATTCTTTCACCTTATAAAACAATTGGATATATTTTTGAAACAGTATATTGTATATAAATGTACAGTATTTCTCTTAACAGGGTTAACCCTTTATGCCTTAACTCCTACATGAACATAAACAAACTGAAAACATATCAAAATGCACATTTGTCCTTGACTGCATTACGGCTCTTTGTTATTAAAGGCACAACATGTTGTGCTTTGTTTGTTAGTTCCCAACAGAGAATTCAAATTCGAAGTTCATTACTAAAAACAAACAATATTCCCAACAGAACCTCTGCAACATCCAAGACTGCTTAAACAAGCTTCAGGCTAATTATAGATAATGAGACATGGAATCTGTCCACTTCGCAAAAAGAATCCTCCTCTTCATTTATTTTCCCCCTTCACATTAAACTGTGTGAATGGATGAGTATATGGAGCATAAACTAAAGCAGAGAATCCTGCCATTATGAGAAGACAGTCTTCTTTTCTCTGTAGGCAAGTTCTTGTCTAAATCAACTCATTCCTAAGCACATCCCAACAAAGCGGGAAAAAACGTACAAGGACTGAACTTACAGGATTTGGATATAAATGCACATAAATGTATATTTCTGCAAAAAACAGAGCATATGCATAACCAAAACAGGCTACAGTAGCAACAAACATGGTAATTTAATCTCTTTTCCTTCCTGTCGACTGAAGTAGACAACAGTATATATTATTATTTTTTTCAAATTTCACTGAAAGAGTTTACTTACCTGGCATGTGATATTGCTGCCACCCATTCATCGCAGTCCTTAACATCTTCTGTACGAAGCTCCAGAGCCTTCTGATTCTCATGGCTGAAGCTGACTGTGAAATAATACTGTAATACAGAAAGAATAGAAATACATTTTAACTACAATACTACACAAAGAATCTCACTTACTACAGTGATGGATGAAATATGAGCCAGTCAGAGTTTATCTTAATCACCAATAAATACAAACATGAAAAAAGAAAACAAAAAGATGGTGTGTAATATATGTCTAATTTTTAATTTAATATATTTTATATTTAAATTATTCCTGTGATGGTAAAACTAAATTTTCAGAAGCCATTACTCCAGTCTTCAGTGTCACATGATCCTTCAGAAATCATTCTAATAGGCTTCTTATTATCAATTATTTCTTATTATCGATATCGATGTTAAAAATGCTTAACATTTTTTATTGAAACCGTGATACATTTTTTTTTAGGATTTTTGATATATAGAAAAAAAACAGCATTTATTTAAAAACCACTAGAAGGTCTCTCAAATTCACTGAGAGGACCTGTGAATTTGAACTGCATTGGGCATTGCAAGAAACTGATGACAATTAGCACAAATGAATAAAAACCATGTTTAAATAACAAGGCTTTGTGCAGTGAACAGCATTTTTTGACAGTTTTGAATGTGGCATTTCAATGAATCTTCCAGTAAAATGATCAGCAGCCCAGCATCTCAGGATGGTACAACATAAAATATGGACAGGAAAATCCTTTGCATATGCAAATACGACACAGTATTCCATGCATAACCTCAACAAGAACACGAGAAATAATGAACTGCATGCTTCCACCTCCCTGATTTTTCGGACTGATGACTGAGAAGGCACGAAGAGTTCAATGAACACAGAAAGGATCTGCTGGGTCTGAGTGGATGTGCTAAGGGAAACTTCCCTGTGCCTGAGATAGCTCCAGTTCTCCAGAGGAATACCATAAAACATGTAAACTGGGAGGATGGCACATTACATAACTGTATGCTACCTGTTACCTAGCAACTCTGTGCACTAGTGGCTATGGCTCTGTATGTGCTACCCGTTTCTCTCCATTTCAGAAGGCCAGGCCTTAGCACCGAATCCCCAACAACCTCAATTTCTGCTGCACGGCAGACCTTCAAGACCCCTTAGCGCTGCTAAATTACATCACAGTCATTTGTCTCATACAGTGGAGACCCACTGAAAGCAGGAAACAAGTGATTGAGGGTGCAAATGCACAGATCCTTATAATATATTTGGCAAACAGTACTTAACTTATTATTCAAATAAAAGGCTTGAATGGGCATCTCAGTGTTGTTTCTCTCCGTTTCAACACATTTACCCATACGTCAATCAATTCTTCCGATTTCTGCAGATTTTTCCATACAATCCATGCATGAAATGTAAAAAATTCTAGATGGTCTAATAGGTCTGTCCATTATTTAAAAACCCAAGTCACAAAATAACATGTAAGATCTGAACTGGCTTCAAATGACTTCAAGTAACCATTTTAGCTAAACTATATAATAAATACATTATATCAGATTTCAAAGATCACATAAAAGACTAAACGTATTTGTCAATGTCATCCAGTTTTCTTCTACAGTGCCATAAACAACCAAACCTTCACCGTAACAACTTTAATGATCAACTTTACTACTGTTGCTGTCTGCCACAGATAGGTTTGCCAACTGTCCCGTATTAGCCAGGACATCAAATATATTGGGCTTAATTGATGTTTCCCTTACGTGACCTCCATTGTCCCGTTTATTGACTGCTACGCTGCTCTAACCACTGATTGATACAACAGCAACAGCAGCAGCAGTGCTGATCACGACACTTGACTTGAGAATGATCACAGACACCTGTCATCATCCAATCACAATTTGTGTGTGTGTGTATATATATATATATCAATTTCACAGTTCTCAAATTCATTCATGTGTAACATTCTATAAAGCTTGACTGAGAGAGCATGAGTAAATAAAGTGGGCAGGGCTTAACAAACAGTCAATTGTTGTTGATCGCAGGTGCATTTAGGGATTTACCACGTTTACTGCACCAAGCAGTGAATAATTGGAATGAAGGCTAAAAGTCTGTGGTCGACATGAAATCACTCAGTAACCATTATCAGATGTTCAAGGAGCGGGACCTTATGTTTTGATTGTAGACATTTTATGAAGCTCAGTACCATATAATTCACAGATCTGAACCAAAAACAAATCTGCAAACCAACAAACCTTAAAAATTCCCATCTTTAAAATCAATAAGCATCCAGTGCCCATTCCAATACTTTTCCATCAGTGCTGCCCAGCTGATGTCTTAGAAAAATGAAATGCTTATTAAAAACATTGATAATGAATTAATGGTAATTATATGCCTTTTAAATTGCCCATATAGGTTCATCCTGCCATGCTGATCTTTTAAACATATGTCATATTGTTAAAATTCTCATGGTTGAAGTATGTTGTTTCTTTTACCTTTTCCTTTCCATATTTTCCTTTCTTTCAGCTTACAGCTGAGTCATGAATATTCACATAACTGACTCATATATGCTTTTGAGCACACACACACACACACACACACACACACACACACACACACACACTAAACATACATTTTTCTATGTGTGATCAATCAAGTGCTTTAAAGGGGTCATATGATGTTGCTAAAAATACAATTATTTTGGTGTATTTGGTGTACTGAAATGTGTTTATGCTGTTTAAGGTTAAAAAAACATTATTTTCCACATACTGTACATTATTGTTTCTCCTCTATGCCCCGCCTTTCTGAAAAACGCACCGATTTTTACAAAGCTCATCGGTCTGAAAAGCGAGGTGTGCTCTGGCCAATCAGAGCACACCTCTGATTGGCACATCTGCGTTGTGATTGGCCGAACACCTTAAGCGTGTGAACACCATACTGTGATGCCGTGTCCGGCCGGAGCAACGAGACAAAAACATTAAAACCCATTATAAACGAGGCATTTGTTGCATCCAGTGGGGACATAATTACGGATTATAATGATTTATACTGTCTTTTTACCCATTGCGTTGCATCGCGCCATGTAAACATAAAACCATGTCTGCATTTGTGATCGGAGAAACGAAAACACTAAAGCGCTACTCTACACTGCTCAAAACTCACGTTTTAATCATCAGTGGCAAATCCTTTAAATATGAAAACGTACTTGCAGTCTGTGAGTCAGAACAGCCAGCATTGTAGGCTACTCTACCAGGATTAGGAAACAGTCCTCCATAAAATGCACTGCACACATCTGAATATTAGGGTTGAACTGTTCTGGAACAGTGTTGTAAATACAACTTAACCACTGATTTGTAGTCATGTCCTCTTTTGGAAGGCCAAACAAAGTAGTTTCGCTTTCACAACGAAACACACAGCGTCACACACGGCGGGCTAGAGTGAGTGGCAGGCTTGAGTGAGCGGAGGCCAGCGGGCTTGAGAACAGCGCGGCCGGCGGATTCGACGAAGGAGTGGCCAGCGGGCTTGCGGCAACCACATGTGACAACCCCGGGCTGGACTCTGCTTCATCCACGGTGAAAGCCGATCCGGCGATCCACAGAGCGAAGTTGATATATTTCCTCAGCGGCCAGCACGGATCAGCTCTAGGCATGAAGAAGTGGATATTGTCCTCTTTTCGAAGGCCAAACAAAGTAGTTTTGCTTTCACAACGAAACACAGTGCCTTCACAACATGGCGGCGGCGGCAACAACAATACTACAGCAAGAATAAAAGTTACGCCTTCTTTATTTGCGTGAAATTTGGGAGGTGTTATGCAAATCTTCCCACATCGTGACATAGACATGTGGGGGCATGTTAAAATGAGCCGTTTTGACTCTTAACTTTTATAAAGAATATCTCTTTGGATTTGAGACTTTAGTCTTTGCAACTTTACAGATCTTCTTTATGCACCAAGAGCTTGTAAAACTCCAAAGAGAAAGGAAAAATTTAAATCGCATCATATGACCCCTTTAAAATCACAATATAACAATGTTAAAAATGTTTGCATAAATTGTTCACAAAACCCATTAATTACAGTATAAACCAGCAATAGCAAACCAAATGTGCTCCAAGCCTACAAATTAGAAAACTTAAACTATTACAAAATCAGATAATGGAGCATAAGTTGCTTCAAATAAAGGATATGACATTCAAAAACGATTGCTGTTATCTTTAAGCAGTCTGCGTAAACATAGTAAAAGAACTTTAAATAACACATTATGAAAAAGTTGCTGTACATTGTTTGAATTCAGACGGGTCCTTTCACATTCTTTCATCAGACACCCATTTATCCCTATTCTGCAACCTGTAACCTGTCACGTCAGCCTTTGCAGTGAACCATAGTTTTGGGAAAGGTAATGGCCTGTAAAGGTATAAAAGTTTACCACGATGACTGTTACAAGTCAAATCCATAAGGCACACCCTTAGGAAGATGTGCTCTATTTTTTGCATCGTTCTTCATGTTCCCACACCTCTGTAAAGGACAAATTTTATTTTGTCAGTGAGCACTAATGCAAGTGCAATCTGCAAGGAGACCAAAATAGCAAACATCAGTAAGTCTACATACATGCTCATTCTGTTGAGTTGCAAAAATGAAGCTGTTCCAAAAGAGAGATGAATGTTTTGCTATAAATGGGCCCTGACCCCTCAGAGGTACTGAACAGAACAAATTTAGCCCAAACAGCGTTAGCATTAATGAAGGAGGCGCAATGCACTGCTACATGCTCCCACTGCACACACACACCATCTCTCCATCAACTCTTTTTCTCATGCAAATAGGAGTTGCCATAGGAACCATGGGCTAAAATGCAGATGTATTAAAGAAGGGTCAATAAATGAATGGTAGAGCAGAGTGATTGGTATGTAAATATGACGACAATGAAAGGAAAGGTAGTGGGATAGTTTTCAATAAAACACAAATTTGTGTTGAATACACCAGTACGCAGATTGCCCAAAAGCATCTTTGTGCTGAGTAAGTGTTTTTTTAGATTAGAAAATAGCATAAACACCGCAATCCAAAAAAACAAAAAAAACTAAATTTGATTCGAAATTAAAATGGATGAGG